CCGCTGCCTGTCTTTCCTCACTTCACGGCACTTGTCTAATTACAGCTGGAGCACTCAGCAGTAGTGTCGTCCCTGCGTTCCCGACAGTGTAAGCGCAACGTCAGACCCTGACAAGCCCTAATTGTTGACAGGGCTAGAATATCCGTTCTGTTAACCAGGAGCTGGACTGTGTATCTTTTCGACCCAGTATTTTTGCTGGTTGCCGTGTGCAGATTTCCCTGATACACTGTCGCTACCGACTATTTGATGATGCTCCAAGGGAGTCACAGGTGGTGCATCGTAGGAGGATCAAATGTGGGATAAACGAACACTGCAGCTACCTTTTTACATCAAGCCGCGTTGGTGTGTCTAACATAGATCATTTGCGCCATATCAACAAGTAAGCACTTACCGAGACCACGTTTCTCTCATTATCTCAAACGCGAAGTTATCGTGACTACTGCGTATGCTTAGCACATGTGTTGTCTGCTATTGCCATCTTTAGCAGATCGTGAGTGTCACCCAACTAACCCGCTCCTTCTTGCAAGTTCAAGTCAGTGGTAAACATCAATTTCCAACGGCAGCAGCTTCTCGCCACAGATTCCCAACAACCATCAACAGCGCATACTCATTCTACTGTATATAAGCCATCCTTCTAGTCACAACCCACCATTCTTCTTCACATCCACCCCATTCCATCCCATCCACTCTTCTCCATTCATCCAACATCAGTATCTTTATCCGTACCCACCCATCTTCTCACACCCGAAGCTACTGAGTCTCAGCAACAACGTTGGTCATCATGCGCCTCACCGCTAGCGTTCTTGCTGGTTTCGCTGCAGTGGGCTTTGCTACACAGGCCAATCCAACCACCAAGTCAGAGTTCAGCAAGGCCCTTGGTGAAGCATATGCTTCCGAATCTGTTAGCGTTGACGGTAACTGGCGGATTGGCTGTGACAAGAACAATCACTGCTCGTACTATCACGATGCCGCCGCTGCTACAAGCATCGCTGCTTCAGAGTTTGTTCACCCTGAAGAAGCATCGTATCCTGAGCGGTCTGCAAGGAGCGTCAACGCAACCGCCAGGGCCGTACGTGTTGCCGAGTTCCCTAATGTCAACAATACTTCTTCAACCGCAGTGCTTAACATGGTACGTTCTCTTCGTTCAATCTTTCTAACGCTCGGTTTTCTTCCAATGAAGTCGATATAGACTTTTGATAGATGGTTCACTGACACACCTCAGAATGATGACCGATTAGCTCGACACAGCCAGAACGTCTCTCTTCACGCGGATATGCAACCCGTTTTCGGCCGCCGTGTCGCTTTTGCAGGAGACCAGTGTGAAGACTGCGATTTAACCGAATGTCCGGTACGTCATACTCCCTTAGCCACTACTTTTTATATCATGGCACTAATCGTTGATATGCTAGGAATGCCACAGTGACTGTGCCCAGTGCCAACACTTCAAGTGTGTCGATCCCAAATTAGGCGTGTCCATGTGCATGAGCGTACGCCCCAAGTACCTGGTTCCCTGCGATCCCGTCCCTCCACCAGTCGTGACCACGACGAAGACTATCTACTACTTGCCCGTGCCTACACCGATATCTGCGGAAACAGTCAGAACCTCACGTCAGGCGAGGTCCGTAGCTACAATCGCACCTCTGCCAATGATTACAGTCGCACCCTCTGTTACTATCACAGTATCTACTGTTGTAACAGAGACAACCACCGTTCTCACTCCCTTCCCGACCCAAACTACCAAGACGATTTTCAGGGAAGTCAGCATCGTACCCATTGATCCCGACAGCACCATCTTCTCAACCGAAACCATTGTACACATGGAACCCATCACGAAAACCATCATGCTCGACAGCAGGAAGAACTTGATAATCCCCAAAACCCCAAGCACCAGCTCTCCAACCCCGTCCTTCACAACAGCCCACGGGCCCCGGGTCTCTGGCCCGCTCTCCCGCCAGCAGCACAACATCAGGGAAGCAACTTGCAAAATTTGTGGAGACGCTTCAGCCTGTCAGGTATGTCAAACCTCCCTCCCCTTTCACGCCACTATCCACAATACCTTTGCTCACACATTCAAACACAGGAGTGCACTTTCGCCTGTCCAGACTGCGGCGGCAACTTGTTCTGCAACAGTCCCTTCAGCAGCCGCAACATCTGCATCGATATGCTGGACACCGCGAATACTACTACAGCCTCGGAAAAGATTCTCGGTCGTGCGGCTACACTTCTCGTTCAACAAGACGAAAATGGTGTTGCTTCCAATAACGGGTCGACAATTGGCAAGCCGTGGGAGATTCAAGATGATGGTTCGGTGCTATCGTTGAAGTTTGGGTACTCTGACTGCCGTGCCTGCATTCCTGGAGACAGGGATTGTCGTGTGAGTTTCTTCCTTTTTGGGTTACATGCTTTTAGTGGTGTGGATGTTGAGGCTGACTGATATACAGGGGTGTAAGCAACGGTTTGAGTGCAGCGAGATGAACAAGTGTGTTCGCGTTGAGGAGACGGAGATTGTAGAGGTTTGTTACGAGAGCGAGACGTTCTGCCCTGCTTGAAGTGTTCTGGCTGGTTCTCTTTTTATCGGATGAACTCGCGTTGAGTGAGTGGCTCATTGGGTAAGGGATTGACTTGTCGACTGCACTGTTTCGCATGTTTCTGCTTGTTGTTTCGTTCGGCTGGATGTCAGAGCGTGCTCACGGCGATATTCCCCTTTGTCTGTACCTTTTCTTGTACCCTCCGTCTCCTCTATTGCTTCACACTTCGTTGTAGTTTATTCACTTGCTTTCTAACTCATTCTTCGTTTCTTCGACATGTCTTTTCGATTCGTTGCTAATCACTCATGTCCGTCACTTTGCGACATCACACTCAGACCCTCACGATGACTGTAATCCCTTCATACGTCTACGAACCTCTACTACCCCCTTGCTCCACATCTCCCTTGAGATCCTCCATCAAAACGCTCATAAGCTTGAACATCTCACCCGCAAGCTTCTTCCCCGTCTCTCTCCACTCCTCCGCACATAGTCTCCCAAACCGATCCGGATGCCATCGTAATCGCTCTTGACGTAGCCACTCATAACTATATAGCCCACTCGCACGAAGCAGCTTCTCCACATCATGATGACAGGCGTGTATGCTATTCTCTTCCAGCTTGAGCATCTTGCACGCCGGCAGCGCACACGTAGTGAGACTGCCCGGCAGATACGGGAACATCGTGAACAGCTTCGGCGAAGAAGAAGAAGACGGTAACCTGTGCAATGGCGGTGGCGAATCCGAACTAGTCGACTGCGAACGAACCTGTATCTTTCTTGGAGTTTTCTGTTTCGGGCCTGCCGAAGCTGCCGCCGCCGACGCAAACATACTCGCCGTCTCAACCGACCACTTCTCATACAGCGCCTTAGTCGCCGCCTCCTTCTTCTTTTCCTCTGACTCCTGCGTCCCATTCTGCGGCAATCCACCGCCCGGCTCCGACGTACTCTGCTTACTCTTATGCTTACTCTTCGCCTTCGCAAAGAAATTCAGCGCAAACCCCTCAAGCGCATCTTCATTAACATCATCAATCGAACCCGCCCACGTCCCATCCTTCCTCACGGCAATGAACTGATCCGCGCTCGAAGGATCCAGCGCAATATACGACAGCTGATTCCACTGAAACCCCTTTTCCGCCTTCCACTCCTCAACCGTCTCTTTATAAATCTCCCACGCATCGCCCTCACCAAGCTTAAACACCACATCCCCATACTCGCTCATGGCGAAAAACGCTCCTTCAGGTCCCCACGTCACCATCCTCGGTGGCCCAACCCGCCATCCCGACGGCGTCAGCCACGACTGCAATGCGTCTTCGAGCGCCGTAGGCAGATTACCCCAGCGAATAAGGTCGGGGTGCCAGACCAGGAACCCGTCGTCTGGGCCGAGAAACGCGCGGAGATGCGGCGAGTGCCATGTTTTATTCAGCACCGTCTGCAGCCGCGAAGGCACCGAGGAACCCCATTTTAAACTGCTCTTGCCGGCGCTGTCTTTGGAGCTGAGCACCCAGGATTCGGGCGTGGGGCCTAGGACGGCCCAGTGGACTTCTGAGACGGCTCGGCTGAGGAGCTGGTCTTGGAGACTAGATGGGAGGTTGCGACAGTGGGGTGGGTTAGGGATTTATTTTATTTATTTTTTAATTTCATACGGGCGTGCGGGTGTAAGGAGGACTGGCGGGGAGGGAAGGGGGGAAGTAGTGGCGGTAGTGATGGTGGTTGGTGGTGATTGAACATACTACTGTAGTCCCGCCGCGCTTTTAGATACAAAGCTATCGTTTGGACCAAACGAGAAAAACGACGTGGAACTCGGTGTATTGCTACTCATTTGCTCGAGCCGATTTGACGTTGCGATTGGATGGGGAGAATTATCGGTTATGACGTCATATATGATCTTACGAATCACTCAAAGCCGCAAATCTGTTAGTAAACGAAACAACTTAAATCCTGTATCCTTTTTTTGCCTTAGTTTTCAGGGCCACTCACCGATCTTATGTACTACAAAGCGGCACGTCTCGGGAGTCTTTAAATCCTTCCCCCCTGTTTTTTTGGTCTTGTCTACGACGGCCCTGAAACGCAAAGTAATAGTGGCTCTTTCGCCGTTATGCTCTTGTTTGCTTTGGCCAACTTGGCTTTTATTCCTGTTTGCAACCTTGTAGCCGATCAAGGCTTGGCAAAAAGGCGGGACAACCAACTTAATTGAACAAACAATAGAAATCCCCCCTTCTTCGTTAGTTTGACCCCAGCTTTCTTACCGTTGCTTTTGTTAGGTGTTTACACACAAGTTTTGTTGTTTAAGATTTATAGCGGCCCAGAACCAAATGGACAAATAACCCGCTTTTTGGCAACTTGCGGTCTTTTGCACACCGCCTAGAAAGACAACAACACGCTCCCCGGATCTAGACCGAACCGCCCGCCCAGCGCCAGCGTTCGCGCTTGAAATCCAAATTAGCGAGTTTCCCGCCGGCGCGCGCGCCGCGAAATATGTGCGACACAACGTTTACGTTTGGGCAGCGGGGCAGCCACTTTTTCCAGTGTCCATCGGCACGAGAATAGTATGGGCTTCCTTTTCCTTTTCCCTTTTTACCCTTTAAACCCTAGCCTGATCCACCCCTCCCCTTTTGAGCATAGTTTTTTTTACTCGTATAGTTAATAATTGTATACCATGTAAACAAGTGTTAAAACAAACCCCAGTAATAGTATATAACAAAGTACTAATCTGTGTAATCGTTTGTTTGATAATAGCACACGCCTGCCTCCCAAACTCTCCCGGCTTCTCGCATCTCCCCAACTCCAGACTATCCACCACTTAACCCTCGGCTTCGAAGACAGCTTCATCCTAACCTACCGCTCCACCACTGGAACCTCTCACACCGAATCCTCAGGCCCTTTACCAGCTGAACTCCTCTCCTTCATCCACGCCCCCAACCGCAAGATACCGCAACTCCGCTGCTACCTAGGCCCCTACAACTCCTCCTTCTTCACCCACGACTCGTCCTCGTATCTCTGGCAAAACCTACCCCCACCCTTCCTCTCCGCACTCGAGAAGAATATAAAAAATGGAAAGTGGCGCGACCGTCCCCGCATCGTTGCTCTAGGCGCTGATGCGAATTTCATCCTCATCACCGAGAAAAATACCGCGGTCTGGGATCTACCATGTTACCCCCACTTGCGCTCCCTTCTCGAAGAGAAGAAAAAGGAGGGAAGTGGCATGAGGGAGGTGCAGAATGTAACGCTACATCCCCACCGCTACGCTTGCTTCCTACTTCACTTCAAAAATGGAAAGTTGGAGTTTGGTAATGTGCCGCCGCATCAGGTGGCGGGCGTGAATGCGTTGCTGGAGCCGTTAAGGAAGGATAGTAAAGAGAAGGGGACGGCGCCGTGGATGGCGAGACGCGAAAGTAGTAGTAGTAGTCAGGTGGAGAGACCGCAGCGCCCGAGTTTGTTGCAGCAGAGGGCGCAGTTGAGGAGGGAGTGGGGGGAGAGGACGAGCGAGGTCGAGGTTAGGGGGAAGGGCGTCAAGTTGAGTTTTAGTCTTAGTGTTAGTCTGGGGGGTGGGTTGGGGAGGTTGCTTGGTTGAGATTTGTTTTCCTTGTGGAGTTTGATTCATGGCTGTATTTGGGTATATCATGGCGTTGGACGGGGGTTGGCATTCTCTCCTTGTTATATATTTTCTTTATATCCTCAAATCCATAGCTTGGGCAATTTTTAATAGTTGTATATATACCCTCTTACGCATGCCTTTTTTACTTACCCCCCAAAGTCACCTTTTTATACAAAACTCAATTGTAGATATAGATTATACTTCATTCTACGGATACAAAAGAAAGTGAGATGGCACTCACGTAAGCCCAATAAGTCTGACAGATACGGTTCAACCTACCAGAAGGGTGAAGGTTTGAATTTCAAAGGGTATAAAGAAAACTTGGATACTGAAAAAGATCCAGAAGAAAACATTCTGAATTCGCTCCAAAAAAAAAACAGAAAAACAGACATGAAGCAAACGCCGACTTCCTGAAAACGCCATTTCGCGGAATAAAGGACCACAAAAAAGAATCATGAGCAATCTTTCCAGTAAACACAAAGTAAACGTTTCTTCCATACATTGACACACACACACCGGACTTCCAATCAACGGGGTTCACAAATCATCATCATCAAACATCTCCACTTCAAACTTCGCCCCGAGCGCCTCATTGGCCTCCTTCAGCATAGCCGACATTTGCAAGCTCATCCTCCGCATGCGCTCATCCTCCTCCATCTCCTCCCTCCTCACCTTATCAATCAAGCGTTGGCTCTCCTGCGGCAACGGACTCGCTACACTAGTATTCTTATCGAAAAACGCAGTAGGAGAGCCGTAGCTAAGACGGGAGTATGAGCGCGAAGACGCAGGGGTACCGGGGGAGAATTTTGAGAGTGAAGGAGCGGGACTGTGCAGGGAGCGACGGTCTGTTGTTGAGCGGCGGGAGACGGGGATTAAGGAGGGCCGCTTTTGAGAGGGGGTGGAGAGGTTTGCGCGGGAGACGGGGCGTGGGATTTGGGAGGAAGGCGAGCGGCCGTGGCCGGGGAGACGTCGCTCGGATAGGCGCGGTGTGCCTGGTCGGGATTCCATTTCGCAGTCTGCGCCGACCATGACCCAGTTGTCTGTTGTGCGCAGGCGTTTTGCTAACCGCGGGCGCTCCGGGGTTATGGAGGGAAATGGTTGGATGCCGTAGTCGTCGCGCGGGAATGTGCCTGGGGTTGGTTGCTGGACGGGTCCTGGGTGGTAGGGATCGTCCTGAAGACCCAGTTTCTCGGCCACATCCGCATTCGAGTCGATGTTGTATTTCTGTCCACTGCCTGCTTGGAAGCCGCGGAAAGGTACCGTGCAAAACTCAAACAGCTTGCCGGCTACTCCGCCTACAAGGCTGATCAATGACCAAGCCTTGCTTCCATTCGGTGTTGTGTGCATCTCTCCAGCCGCCGCCTGCGTAGAAAGGCCAACCTGGGGAGTCGGTGGTACAGACCAGGTGCCGCGTTGGCTTTGGAGGTTGAAGTAGTCGTCGTAGTCGCCGTCTCGCCGTCCGAATGTCTGCGGTCCATCCATCCCCCCAGCGAGTTCGTAGCGATCGTTTGCGAGCGGAGGCGGACTCTTGTTGTTGACGAAGCGGTTGTTGCTCAGGGGATAGTCGCCCCAAGAGCCTGGCGCAGCGTTGTCGCCATATCGCGATCGCTTCCGGGTCTCGTGCGCATCCGAGTCAATCACCTGGCGACCACTGGTTTCAGACGCAAGCGAGTACCGCCTCGTTGCGTCGAAGCAGCTATTCCGCGAGTCTCCACGTGTATGCGATGGCGAAAACGTATACGGTCCAGGCATGTCGTTGGGATAGCGCAACTGGGCGGCCATGCAGGGAGGTGGATCGGGGTTGCCTGTGGGACGTAGTTTCAGGGACGGCTAGCGGAGCGGACGAATGAGGTCAGCGTTGGTGCAAGGATGGCGGGTGCTGCTTCTCGAAAGCTTCGGTAGTCGGCAAGTCCCCAGGAATCGGAGAATTAGTTAGAGCTTCATAATGGGTGTGGCGTGTGTGGTGATGGAGATGCGAGTGGGGAACCGTGCAAGTCAATCGTTTGTTTATGGTAAGCCGTCGCTGGGGTAGCGAGTAGCGAGGAGCTTGGACAGCCATCGTCAAGGTGGTCGCGACATTGGCCGCATCGTGAGTCTGTTGAGCACCTTTTCGAGGGCGCATGAATGATGTGTATTCAACAAATGATGTGCAAGCGATAATGCCATAAGTACGTACGAAGTTACAACGCCTCCCGTGACCAGGGTATACCCTACCTAGACGCCATCTAATCAGCAGCTGGATCCTCCTCGCCTGATATCTCATACAAATCGTCCTTGTCTTCTCTCCTCGTACATGTGGTTTGCATCCTCTTCCTCATCATCACCCATCTCCTCTCCCTCGACAGGTGCCTCCTATGCCCTTGCTATCCATCCACTATGCACAAAATATTCAAACAACTGCGATGACTTGTTGGTGTCAATCTTGCAAATCTCCTTGGCCGTCTTCTTCTTGAGCGCACCGCCGTTCAGGAGGGCTGCACGAAGAATCATTTCCTTGAGCGCGATATATGGTTTCGGCATGATTCGCAGGACACTGCACAGTTCTACTTCCTCGGCGCTAAGCAACTGGAGATCTGCCTTGGACTCTTTGCCAAACTTCAGAGGCACTGTGTTAGGAAGTGGCTTCGGTACAAATTTGGTCTTTGTAAATTGAGGGGTCGTCACTCCATTGGTGCCGTTAACACCATTAGTATTGTTGGGCGCACGGTCTGGTGGTGGTGTACTCAGTCCGCTGCTCTGCTTGACGTGCAGGGGAAGTTCTTGCGCAAGCAGTGCAGTGGCGGCTGATGGCTGCTCAAAGGGAGGTTGGGGCTTTGCCATCCTACTAGACGCGAGACGGTCGAACTGGCCAATGGGCGGTGGCCTGGTCTGCCGTTGCTGCTTTTCCTGCTCATACTTTTCGCCAGCCTTGAGACTGGTGATCTGCATGTTCCTCCACTCCTGTAGTTGTGAGATGGCCTGTCGCAGATTATGCTCGTACTCAAGGTCTTTGCAAAACTGCTCAAAGTCGGCGTGTAGCATCATTCTCGCAAAGGGCTTAGCTTTGTTCATGAGATCCTTCTCTTCCTTTGTGCGCTTCTTGTCTGCCAGTTGATTTTTGCGGTACTCGAGCAGCTGATGCTCGAAAATAATCTTCTTCCTCTCCACACGTGCGTCCAGGCGGTGGTTGTAAATCTCCATAATGACCATCTTCAACTCCATTTCGGGTTCAATCTCGCCGGTGCGGGGATTGATGCCATCGCCCGGCTCGAACTGCATGTGCTGGACCGCCTCTTCTGCCTCGTTAAAATACTCCGTCTCAAACTCCAAACGACCTGGCATGTAGCCTTGGACCTCGTGACAAGCGGGGACACTGGCCGTAGGTTTCTGCTTGGGAGCCTCAGGCTCGCGACTGGCAGCCTCTTCCTTCTTCTTCTCGATTCTCCGCTTCTTCCTCGCCTGGAACTCGTGACGCGGTATGCGTGTGCTGAGCTCGGTGTCATCCTTGCTGCAGTGTTCCGGCAGGGGAAAGCTGGGGCTGTTCAGGTACGTGTCGATGTAGTGGTCTCGCACTTCGTCCTTTTCGCGGAAGCCGCCAATGTGGTCGGCAATGTCTGCCCAGGAACCCAGGCCATATGTCTCTGCTCCCTCTAGGAGAGCCAACTCCTCGTCGGCGCCCCAGTCCTCTGTGAAAATAGGAATCGAATGCTGCTCGATAACCTTGAACTTGTGCTTGGCAGGCTGGTGGTCCTTTGTGGCCTTGCCTTCGGCGAAGCATGGCACGCAGAGGTCATACTCGTGGCATACCTCCTCGGCGCAGCGAATGCGGACCTGCAGGGAGGGTTAGGACGCGTGCAATGGCAGCATGGAGAGCAAGGCATAAACGGACCGTTGACGTGATGTCGGAGGAGCAGACGTCGCAAACATACTTTGTGCCGCCCTCGGTACCGCGCGCACCTGTCTTCTTCTTGATGACGCCCATGGTACCCCGCTCGGCTAGGCGTGAGGAGGCAGGTGAACGAGTGTCGTCGTCGTAGTCGTCGTCGCCACACAGACTACACTAGGCGACCAGACTGGACGGGTCAGGTTTGGGGTTGGGGTGGGCGCGCGGAGGTGAGACAGGACATGTGGCTGTGCGCAGGGCACTGCAGTGCAGACGCGCGTGTCAGTTCGCAGGCGGCGGACTAGCGGTAAAGCCGCCAGCTGGGCTGCAACACGGCGGAACGACAGGGCCCCAGGGCTGCACGGTTGCGCGTCTCCAGGTCTCGGGACGCCGATGCGATGCGATGCGATGTTGGACGGTGGTGGTGGTGGTGGTGGTGATGCAGAATGACGGACGTGGGTGAGCTGGTATGTGGTGATGTCTGTGTGTGTGTGTATGTATGTGTCTATGTACGCGCAATAGGAGGTTGCCCGCGGCGGAAGCTGCAGCCGAGGCGAGCAGACAGACAGCGCAAGCAAGTACGCAGACACACTGCACTGCACTGCACACTGCCCTCTGCCCTGGGCATCTGTTACAACATGTCGCGTCTCCCGGCACCCGTTGTCGCCAGTAAAAGAGGAGAGAATTGCGCCCGGCCCGCGTCTCTGCTCGTCGTAGGGGCGGGTCTAAACACTGGGAAATGACAGAGGGCGCGAATGGGCGTGTCAGTGCGGGAAACACGACCTGGTCGCCGCCGGCCGAGATTAAGGCTAGCGACCCAATGACCCCTCAAACGTGAGACCCTATCTCGAGCTCTGGAGAAGCGTACTCAAAGCGCTGGGCGGCTCTCGGACACCAGACACGTTGCCACTGTCGATGCTCCCTGGGGCTTTCTTCTGTGCCTCTCTCTCTCCTTTCTGACGCCTCTGCGCCAACAGCAAACCCACGCCCACTTCTGCCCTCATAAGCTGCACCGCCGCTCCTTGGGTGCGCACACCCCCTCTCTCTCGCCGCCTGCCCCCAAGTCTCCGCCCTCTGACCATATTCGTCTGTCTTTCTGCACCTAACCACCGCTGAGCTGCCGCAACCATGTCTTGGAAGCTCACCAAGAGTGCGTCTCCCTCCCCTCGTCAGCCCTGCCGCTCCAATTCTAACCACCGTTGCAGAACTCAAGGAGACGCACCTGGCGCCCTTGGCCAACACATTCAGTCGCTCGTCGTCGACGTCCACAATAGTCAACGACCAGGCCACGCCCAAGGCCTCGAGCCATGCGAGCAGCCTCACAGACGCAAAGGACAATGGCATTGGTACAAACACACGCCCCCGCCCCTGCTTTCGCCTCTGCTGACCACAGACACAGCTGCGTCCGAAGCACAATCGTCCGCGCCTGCTGGGCCCCTGCGCCCAGGTATCCTTATAGTCACCTTGCATGAGGGTCAGAAATTCTCACTGCCTCCTGGCGCCGAGCAGCAATTCAGTGGCCAGGGCCACCACCAGGGCTCCCTGTCCCAGGGTGGCGGCCTCTCTGTCGCTGGCTCAATGCGCCCTGGCTCGTCCTCTCGCAACGCCGCTGGCTCCTACGCCGGCCGCCCACAGTCTGCTGCTGGCAGCATCAACGCAGCACCTACTATCCACGGTCGTTATTCTTCGAAACACCTTCCCTACGCCCTCGTCGACTTCGACAAGCAACAAGTCTTCATCAACGCCGTCTCAGGTACTCCCGAGAACCCTCTTTGGGCTGGCAGCAACACACAGTATAAGTTCGATGTGTCGCGCGCTACCGACGTCACCGTCTCGCTCTACATCCGCAACCCTTCAGCTGCACCCACTGCTGGTCGCAGTGAAGACATTTTTATCGGTACTCTCAAGGTCACGCCACGGTTCGAGGAGCAGCAGCAAGATGGAAAGCCGGCAAAAGCAGAAGATGGATCTGGCCAGGCTGGCGCTGACTGGATACCCGTGCAATTTGGTAGTGGTCAAATGAAGGTTGGCGTTAACTTCGTCGAGAACCGACAGGACCGTCTTTCAATCGACGACTTTGAGCTCCTCAAGGTTGTAGGCAAAGGCAGTTTTGGAAAGGTCATGCAAGTGCAGTATGTGCTTACTCTTCCGCCCCCATCTCTCGTATGCTCACAGAAAACAGGAAAAAGGACACGCACCGAATCTACGCCCTCAAGACCATCCGCAAAGCACACATTATTTCCCGCTCTGAAGTCGCGCATACCCTAGCCGAACGTTCAGTATTAGCCCAGATTAACAATCCCTTCATTGTGCCACTGAAGTTTTCGTTCCAGTCGCCAGAGAAGCTCTACCTAGTCCTAGCGTTTGTCAATGGTGGCGAGCTTTTCCACCATCTCCAAAAGGAGCAGCGTTTTGATATCAACCGAGCCCGATTTTATGCTGCTGAACTTCTCTGTGCTCTGGAATGTCTTCACGGTTTCAATGTCATCTACCGTGACTTGAAGCCAGAGAATATTCTGCTCGATTACACAGGACACATTGCTCTCTGCGACTTTGGTCTCTGCAAGCTTGACATGAAAGACGAAGACAGGACAAACAGTAAGTCGCTTAGGACCCTTGTCACATCCTGACACTGACCCTGCATAGCGTTCTGCGGAACCCCAGAATACCTTGCTCCTGAGCTTCTGACTGGTGCTGGCTATACCAAGGCCGTGGATTGGTGGACGCTCGGTGTGCTGCTATATGAGATGTTGACTGGTCTACCACCATTCTACGATGAAAACACCAACGACATGTACCGCAAGATTCTTACCGAGCCTCTTCATTTCCCAGGCCCCGAAGTTGTGCCGCCAGCCGCGCGAGACTTGTTGACCCGTCTGCTAGACCGTAACGCGGAGAAGCGGTTAGGAGCCAAGGGCGCAGCGGAAATCAAGGCACACTACTTCTTCCATAGCATTGACTGGCGAAAGCTGCTCGAGAGGAAGTACGAGCCTAGCTTCAAGCCCAACGTGGTGCGTATACTCACGATACCCAAATATCGATACATGCTAACAGATCGCAGGTTGACGCAAAGGACACTGCAAACTTCGACCGCGAGTTCACTTCCGAGGCGCCGACGGACTCGTATGTCGATGGACCGATGCTCTCTCAGACGATGCAACAGCAGTTTGCAGGTTGGTCATACAACCGCCCCGTTGCTGGTCTCGGCGATGCCGGTGGCTCAGTAAAGGACCCGTCTTTTGAGGGCGTGACTGAAAGATAAGGCACTTTTGGACTCAAAATAACTCGGCTTCGGAGCCGTTGAGTTGGTGCTTGGCTTGTCCCGGCGATGGAGCCGAGCGCAAGGAAAATCATCCACCGGCTTTGGATGGCTCCACAGACAGAATGCATATTGATTGGTGGCTTCTCAGCGCTCTTTGATGCTTTTTTGGGTTCGGGAGCAACGGTATGGCGCTTGAGGCAGCATTTGTATGAGAAATGCCTATATTCAGGCTAAGCAAATCAAGACGATATCCCCATTGAACCACATGCCCCCAATGGTGCATAATAACTCACCCATGTGCATAGCCGTAGCGTCCATGAGACACACCTTACTCATCGGCTTGGTAAGGCTAGAGCCAACGGGAGAGCTGCTGCCCGGCTTCCTAATGCTGGTAAAAGTGGTGCCCCTCTCAACCAAGCTCTGACGCAAGCGGGGGTCTCGGCCGCGCGCGCCCTTGACATTTCTCCTACCCTTCAGTCAAAGCACTAACAATCACCTCATCAACTCTACTTGCAAATCTTCACTCGTCTCTCCCTCTTGTAATTGACCCCTCCTAATACCCGACTGTTCACCGTGAAAGACTTTGATAGTTCGTATACACCAGTCCCGTATACGTCATTGCATACTCACCCCACCTCTCCAGCCCTGTAGCTCAACATGCCTGGCTTCGCACAAGCCTCGGACCTCAGCGCCTGGTCTGCGCTCCAGGACCACCACCAGAAGCTTGGAAAGGACATTGTCCTCAAGGAGTACTTCAAGAAGGACCCCCAGGTGAGACACAAACAATCCGATGCATCCATTGTCTAATCCCATGTAGCGCTTCGAGAAATTCAGTCATACTTTCAAGAACGATGCCGAGAACTCCGAGATTCTGTTCGACTTCTCCAAGAACTTCATCACAGAGGAGACCCTGAAGCTGCTCGTCGAGCTTGCAAAGGAGTCTGGCCTCGAGAAGCTCCGTGATGACATGTTCGCTGGTGAGAAGATCAACTTCACTGAGAACCGTGCTGTCTACCATGTTGCGCTCCGCAACGTCTCCAACCAGGAGATGAAGGTCGACGGCCAGAGCGTTGTCGAGGATGTCAACAGCGTTCTCGACCACATGAAGGAGTTCAGCGAGCAGGTCCGCAGCGGCGAGTGGAAGGGATACACTGGCAAGAAGATTGACACCATCATCAACATTGGTATTGGTGGATCTGACCTGTATGTTACCGCTGCGTTACAGAGCTTCAATTGGTGTCACTAACGTGGAACAGTGGCCCTGTCATGGTCTCAGAAGCCCTCAAGGCTTACGCAAAGCGCGACCTCAAGATTCACTTCGTCTCCAACATTGACGGCACACACATTGCTGAGGCCCTCAAAGACTCCAACCCTGAGACCACCCTCTTCCTCATTGCCTCCAAGACATTCACCACCGCTGAGACCGTCACCAATGCCAACACTGCCAAGAGATGGTTCTTGGACAGCGCAAAGCAAGAGGACATTGCCAAGCACTTTGTCGCTCTCTCTACCAACGAAGCCGAGGTCACCAAGTTTGGTATTGACAAGAAGAACATGTTTGGCTTCTCCGACTGGGTCGGTGGACGTTACAGTGTCTGGAGTGCCATTGGTCTGAGTGTTGCCCTCTACATTGGCTTCGACAACTTCCACCAACTCCTTGCTGGTGCCCACGCCATGGACAAGCACTTCAAGGAGGCCCCTCTTGAGCAGAACATTCCCGTCATCGGTGGTCTACTCAGTGTATGGTACTCTGACTTCTTCGGTGCCCAGACACATCTTGTCTCTCCGTAAGTTTGCGCGGCATTTACCAGGTGATATGTATTCTAACTATGGTCTAGGTTCGACCAGTACATGCACAGGTTCCCCGCCTACCTCCAGCAACTTTCCATGGAGTCCAATGGAAAGGCTATCACCCGCAGCGGTGACTACGTCAAGTACACCACCGGCCCCATCTTGTTTGGTGAGCCCGCCACCAATGCACAGCACTCGTTCTACCAGCTCCTTCACCAAGGCACGAAGCTCATTCCCACCGACTTCATCCTGGCTGCCAAGAGCCACAACCCCGTTGACAACAACAAGCACCAGAAGATGCTTGCTTCCAACTTCTTCGCACAGGCCGAGGCCCTCATGGTCGGCAAGACACCAGATGAGGTCAAGGCTGAGGGTGCACCAGAGGAGCTTGTTGCCCACAAGACGTTCCTTGGTAACCGCCCAACCACTTCAATCCTAGCAGACAAGATCACACCAGCTACTCTGGGAGCCTTGATTGTCTACTACGAGCACCTTACCTTCACAGAGGGCGCTATTTGGAACATCAACAGCTTCGACCAGTGGGGTGTTGAGCTCGGCAAGTCGCTGGCGAAGAAGATCCAGGCTGAGCTTGATGACGACAAGGAGTCGACTGCTCACGATGCCAGCACCAGCGGGCTCATCAATGCATTCAAGAAGAAGTCTTCCTTGTAAACGACGGAATGTATGTAACGGTAGAGGCACGGCTGTAACAGCTGGAGGATGTCCTGAAAAAGGCCAACTAGTATGTGGTATGTAACCGCCTGGAAGCATCCCTTGATAGCCACAGCATCATGATATACGAATGAATAAATATGAACATGAATATATTCTGCCTCTTTGGACTGGTGTCTGGATTCTATGTTTCTGTATTGACTATTTGGTATGTGCTTTTAGTCGGCTCTCTTTCCACCTCTGTAGCCATATCCTCCCAAGCCATATCCACTGCCCATGCTGGGAGCGCCATCCCTCGCGTTCGCAACAGGCAGCCCATACCCACTTCCTCCATTGCCAAACCCTCTTCCACCCCCATTCATCCTATCCGTCGCATACCTCTTCAGCCTCCTGGGCAATTCCACACCCCTAAAGTAAACCACACAAACCGCCGCACTCGCCACAGCACTCAGAAAACAATACACCAGCGTACTCGTATAAATATGGCCTCCATATCCACTCCAGCCCGGCGGCAACGTCGTACTCGGATACCACCTCACCGCAAACACCAACGGCAAACTATCCCCAATCGTAATCTTCGTATTCCTTGAGTGACTACTCACACTGTACGCCGTCGCCGCGTCGATTGTGCCTGGACTACTTTGTTTCGGAGCCGCATGGACTAGTAGGTTTAGATAGTTTCCCACGTGCAAGTGTGAGAGTTGCAATGTGCCTGCTAGTGCGACGATGAGCGGGGTGTAAGAAGAGGATTGAGAGCCGAGTGCGCCTTCTTGGGTTGAGGAGTCGGAGACGATGTATTGGGTTGCGAGGACGGAGGGGGGAAGGGGTTTCGAGGGGATGCGGCAGGAGAGGGGGGCGTCGTTGTGGATGTAGAATTCGAGGACTGCGAGTATGTTAGGAAAGGCTGGGGGGAGTTTTTTTGGTGGGATGGGGGGGAGGGGAGAGGAACGTACGGTGGAAGAATTCGTCCGTCACAAAATCTATGGTGCAGTTTACGTCTTTTTCGATGCCGAAGAAGAGTTCGAGTGGGCGGCCGGTTTCGTTGCAGACGGGGAAGGGTATGTATTGGAGGTGGCCGGCTGCGTCTGTGATCTGTTTTTGCTTTGGTCAGTTTTTCCGTTCTCCTCGGGTATGATGGCCGCGGCGTGGGTATGGCTAGAGACGTACATGTTCACCTGTTTCTCTGGGGAGGAAAGTATCAGTGTACGTTCTGTCGTCCTTTGTTTGCGACAAAAGGTAACTTACATGGTGCGATTCAGACAGCTGACGGGAATTGGCTCGCCGGGATTATATCCGCGTTGTTCTTCCAGAGTACCCAGTGGCTCCTGGCCGCTCAATGCCGTCGCCAGCGTGCTGAAGAAGGAGAAGAGGGCGACGGCTGGGAGCCAGGGTCTCTTGGATAATTTGAGTGGCATTCTGCTTTCCTTTTTTGCTGGTTCTTAACGATACGATTGTTGCGATTCGATTGCGAAGACGTTTCAATGTTTGGTGATAGGCTGGTTATTGGGGGTACATTGCGCTGCGCATGAGGGCAGCTACGGGGCGTGGTTCAAGATGCGCCGTGTCAACTTGAGGACATGGTTGGGTCCACGGTTGGATGGCCTGTGCGCGGCTCAAGACCTCCGGGCCAACTCCGCAGTGGTTAGGGGATCCAATCATCCCACTTGGTCTCCAATTATGGGTTTGGTACGGTTGCAATATTTCCGTTATATGGGCGATGCAGTGCACCTGATAGAGTGAAGCAATGGCACAAGACAGTGGGGAGAGCAAATCGGTGGTAAAATGGTGTGCGTGGAATCTGATGTAAGATGATACCCGCATCACATGTCTTTGAGATATCGAGACCCCTATGCAGGCACATGCAAATACTGTTATAATACAGTCTGTGAACTTCGTACCTAACTCATACATGGCGCATCTTCTGGCTCCTGCGTCGTATACGCTCGGACATCTACCATCCCTTCCTCGTCAGCTCAGTGACTCGTCCAGTGACGTCCCTGAAGCCTTGCTTGAACCTCGCCCTCCACCTCTCTGACGCCAACCTCTTTCGTTTTAGACCTCCTCGTTCGTGAAACCTCTGTCTATTGAAGTCGGCTTTGACTTTGTTGCGCGCCACTAGACTGCCCAACATGCCAATTCCCCGCACAATGTCTCGTCCGCGGCTCGCATCCAGCTCCACTGTGCGTCCGTATGTTGGGTTAAGGCGCGGGTAGGAGGAGAACGTTTCTTCTTGTTGTACCGCTAGGCTGGATGCATCAGAAGGCTTGTTGGACAAGTTGGGGTTCAGCATCGAGTCGGGCAGCGCCATGGAGTCAAAGGCTAGGCCTGGTGGGCGAGAAGGCCGCGAGCGGGTTGCGTTTGAGAATTCGGCGCCAAATATACGGTTGTTCTTTGATCCTGATGCGGCGTTTTGTTGCATATATGGTGGTGGAGTCCGGTTGGAGGGTATGCCGCTGAAGAGAGAGTCGATTGTTCGCGTGGTTTCGTCTTGGGTGGGCTGTGATTGGGCTTGTGGCTGTGATTGTGCCTCTTTAGCCGCTTGATCAGAGATGTAGCGGATTATTGGCCTTTTTGATTCTCCCCCAGATGCATAGCTTTGGTCATTGCCGTCGTTCCTCGTCGATTCCGCCGGTCGAGTTGGGGTGTGAGAGAAGCCGCGGTGACATATCCATGGCCATGTCTGCTTGCCCATGTGCGCATGTGGCATACGGGCTACGGAAGACGGACGGAGCATCAGCTCGCCGAGGCATTTTGAAGCCATTGTCGACGTTGTGGTGCGCGACAAGATTCAATTGCGGATTCGCGGGGGTCGAGTATGCAGATGATGCACGTCGCAAACGCAAGTCCCAAATTCTTCGGAGGTTCGGTGAGGTCCGAGCGCCTTTACAGCTCTAAATCTAATCCGCGACTTGCTCTCTCTCACACACACACACACCAACCTCTCGCCGCAGTGTCGCCCTCAACTGGACACCTTTTGTGAGAACTGTATTTCTGAATTATATACTGTTTTGGGCTCTGCGACTGCGTATCTGTTCAACATGTACGGTTATCCTGGTATGTTCGCACATTCCTCCATCGCGGAAACAACTAACATGCGCAGGTGCTCCGGGCTACAATGGACCTCCAGGCTATGCAGGAGCTCCGCCTGGCATGGCCCCTCCTGGAATGGGTGTGTAAATTTGCCCAATCAATTCAAACCCATACTAACAAAGTGCAGGTCCTCCAGGCGCTGCAGCTCCCCCTGGTGTAGCACCTCCGCCAGGTGTCGCAAACGCTCAGATGCCCCCAGCAGCAAACGGATCCCGCGCCCTTCCATCCGGCTGGCAGCCACCCGCAAGCATGCCAAACTTCAACTTCAACGCGCCCGTCATCCGTCTGGGAACACAAGGAGGTCGTCCTGGCGCGGCCGACAGCCCAGTAGGCGGCCGTAGAGATAATGCAGCACCACCCGCTCGTCGCGGGCTTGGTATGGACAGAGATGGCGATCGCCGAGATGGACCCCAGCCCGTCAATCCACCCACTCGCGAGGAAATCGCCAGGACCATTTTCGTTGGCAACATCCCGGATGGCGTTGGAGGTGATGAGGGCATGGAGCACATTCTCGAGACGGCAGGAAAGTTGGTCCGATGGACGAGGGCAACCGATGCCAACAACAAGCCCCAGACATTCGGTTTCGCAGAATTCGCCGACGCGCAGAGCTTGGAAACAGCGGCGGAGATCTTCAAAGATATCCATGTACCCACAAAACGCCAGAAGCCTGGAGGCGCGGCAAAGAAAGAGGATGGCGAAGAGGAAGAGGTTGAGACTACCAAGTTGCACATCATGGTTGACGATGCCTCGATCAAATATGCCGAAGAGTGGAGCAAGACTCGAAACGAAGATGAGGCTACGGTTCAATTCCGCCTTGATAGCGCAAAGGAAGCCCTTTCCTCGGTCCTCGCAAGCTTCTTCAACCCACCTAATGCGCCCAACATGGATTACGCAGGCGATACAGTCATGCAAGACGCGCCGACACAAGATGGCGAGGATGTCGAGGTTGCGTTTGTCAACCTTGCTACTGGAGAGGACGAACTTGCAGACATTCCAGCCGAAATGCGCGAGGTGGTCGCCGCCGAGATAGCCGCCTTCCGCGACCGTTCCAACCAGCGCGACCGCGACCGTCTAAGGAGGGAAGAGGAGCTTGAGGCCGAAGAACGTCGCCGCAGTGGTCGGCGCGCAACACCACCATCCTCTGCTCCTAGTGGACCTGGGAATGCTAACGGTGTACCATTGGGTCCGAGGGCGGAACGAGGTGTTCAGGGTGCCCCCAGCGGACCCAAGGGGTCGCAATTCCCTCGCGATTATCAAGCTGGCGTCAATTTTGTGAATGGCGGTGCCGTGAACAATGGCGTCTACATTTCCCGGGAAGATGATGATGATTCCGCCAGCGACTCGGAACTTGAGCGCCGCCGTCAAAAGAAGCGTAACGACGAAGCCGAAGAAGCGTACAAGAAGCAGCTTCATCGATGGCTCAACACAGAACGCCGTACTGTGGCCTCGCTTGACCGTACGAACGACTATTTCAAGAACATGGATGCTGAGTGCGAGAAGGCTCGTGTCGCGCAGGCTAAGCAGCTCCGAGAGTTTGATGACGATCAAGAAGCAGCTTCCAGGCGCGATCTATACTACCGTGATCATAGCGATTGGATCCGTGAGCGCGAAAAGGTTCGTGGCCTCGAAGCTAAGGAAGACGCTATCGATCGAGACCAAGAGCGGCGTGAAATGGCTGCCCAGAAGCGACAGCAAGACCATGCTCGTGGTCAAGCCGATGCTTTCTTGGAAGAGCAAGGCGAGGAACTGATGCGCAGGGAGGAGCAACGCGAGCCAGCGCATTTCAAGATCTCTCTCGGTGCAGCTGCCAAGAAGCTTGAACAGACTGCGGCTCCTCGTCGCACCGCAGCCGACGTCGAAAACCTTCTCGAAGACGAAGATCTCACCGACCAGGCCGGTTCCAAGAAGCGAACGCTTATTCCCATCAACTTCGATGCTGCTGTTCGCGCCAATCTTACCCAAGAAGAGATTGAGGAAGCTCAGCGACAGCTTGCGCGTGACATTCCCAACGACAAGGAAGGCTTGTGGAACTGGGCAGTCTCTTGGGAGCACTTACCCGAGAAAAACATCAACAAGGATATCAAAGAATGGGCCGCCAACAAGGTTCTTGAGATTATGGGTGTTCAAGAAGAAATGCTCGTCGATGCTATTGTTGAACACTTGAAGAGCAGAGGCGCACCACAGCCTTTGGTGGAGAATTTGGAAGTTGTAAGAGTCCTCGCTCCAGTTTTTGTATATCCTGTTGCTAACAACCAGTCTAGGCCCTTGATGAGGAAGCAGAAGCTCTGGTCAAGAAGCTTTGGCGTATGGTCATCTACTACAGTGAGACTGAAAAGAGGGGAATTAAGTAGGCTTCTTGCCTATACATCTAAAGTAGCATTGTCATTTAAGGTCAGATATTGCAATATGCTCAACTGAAAGCCAACAGTGGCTTGAGCATTTCCATGATTCGGGCGAGTGAGTATCTGGGCGATCCTGCCTTGGTTAGCTATTGACGCGTTGTAGGGTCCTCGGATCTTGCATCACGATACGAAGTGTAATTAATGGATATATGGAGAGAATGGAGTCTCAAGTCAGGTCTGTCCAGTCATTCTCGGTTGGTGCGTTATTAACAGACAGGCTCATTGCAATCCCTACACCAGTTGCAATTGGAGCTCATATACTGATGACCTCGCTTCCGCTATGCTCAGGGTAGGACTAGGGTACCTGGTGAGCCCAGTACTCTCAGGCTGACGGTGACATTTGGGGGCCTTTGCCTCCCCTCATCGCTGTAAAACCAAGGTTCTGTGATGAAAGGTAAGTTGCACGTAAGCTGTGATCCATACGTTTCCTCTATCTCTTGGAGACACGATGCTATTGTTGCAGCATACGACAACGTCTTTCCAGCCTGGTAATGCGTTGTCAAACTCAAGCTTCTTGCCTAGACGCGAAGCATTTACGAGGCGTCTCCCTGTGCATGTCGACCAGGGTTCCATCCACTCGCAAGAGTGCTGGAAATACTTAGATGCGAGGTAAATAAATTATCGGGATCCGCGTCGGAGCGGTTGTAGAAGCCCCAGTTTTTGCCAGCCCCAGGTAGTGGCGTGGCTTAGTTCTTCCACGAATGACAAGGGGCAAGTGGGGTTGCGCTACGGCATTGTCACGATAGTTGAAGTGGATGGGTAGTCGCGTGGATGACTTGCTAGTCGAATAGAAGTCTAGATCTGTTCTCTTCTCATATAGAAAGGGACACTTTGCTTCATCAATCACTTCGCTTTTCCTCTCTTTTTCAATTTTGATCAGTTCTCGAAGGCAGTTTAGTTACTAAACAGACTTTGCGGGGTATCACGCTGCGTTCCGAAGACATTCCGAATCAGAATCACAGGACACATCACCACCATGGTTACGATTACAGGTGTTGAGACGAAGGACGTGCGGTTCCCGGTAGGTCTTATACAGAATCCAGGGCTTACGTTAGGGATTGAGAGGCTCATGAAGATATAGACGTCCCTTGACAAGACTGGCTCCGATGCTATGAATGCCGCTGGAGATTACTCTTCAGCATACTGCATCTTGCACACCGACTCAGAATTCAAAGGTCATGGCATGGTGAGTCAAATATCTTGTTTTCCCACGAGTTATTCGAAAGAGTTGGATTTGTAGGACCATTGGCTCTGTGGACATTGTGCTTCGGCGCAGTCCCTGAGCGTAAAAGACACTATTTCTCACAACAGAACGCCTGAACTATGACATGTTTCTAACCAGACACCAAGACCTTCACAATCGGCCGTGGAAATGAGATTGTATGCACTGCCATCACCCACCTAGCAGACCGCATCAAAGGCCACACTCTCGACTCCCTCGTCGCCAACTGGGGCAAGACCTGGCGTCATCTCGTCAACGACTCGCAACTCCGCTGGATCGGCCCCGAAAAAGGCGTCATCCACCTCGCCCTCGGCGCCGTCGTAAACGCCATCTGGGATCTCTGGGCCAAATCCCTTGGCAAGCCCGTCTGGCGCATAGTCGCAGACATGACCCCCCAGCAAATTGTCGACCTCATCGACTTCCGCTACATAACCGACGCCCTAACCCCAGCCGAAGCCCTCGAAATCCTCACAAAAGCCGAAGCAGGCAAGAAGGAACGCCTCCAGGAAGCCCTCGACAGCCGCGCTGTACCCGCCTACACTACCTCTGCGGGCTGGCTGGGTTACGGCGAGGACAAGATGCGAGGTCTGCTCCAGGACACGCTATCAAAGGGGTACAAGCATTTCAAGCTCAAGGTGGGAAGTGATATTGCGCAGGATAAGCAGCGTCTGAGTATTGCGCGCGAGATTATCGGGTTTGACCGCGGAAACGTGCTCATGGTTGATGCGAATCAGGTGTGGAGTGTGCCTGAGGCGATTGAGTATATGAAGGAGTTGAAGGAGTTTAAGCCGTGGTTTATTGAGGAGCCGACGAGTCCTGATGATGGTACGTTTACCTTCTCTTTTCCCTATCTACTTTTCTTAAGAAAGGAATGATAAACTGACGTGAACATAGTCCTCGGCCACAAAGCCATCCGCGAAGCCCTCAAACCCTACAACATCGGCGTCGCCACCGGCGAAATGTGCCAAAACCGCGTCATGTTCAAGCAATTCCTCGCGTCCGGCGCGATCGACATCTGCCAAATCGACGCCTGCCGTCTCGGTGGCGTAAACGAGGTTATCGCCGTGCTCCTCATGGCTGCCAAGTTCAACATCCCCATTGTACCGCACTCTGGTGGTGTGGGTCTGCCAGAGTACACGCAGCATCTTTCTACGATTGATTATGTGGTGGTGAGCGGCAAGAAGAGTGTCCTCGAGTATGTGGATCATTTGCATGAGCATTTTTTCCACCCGAGCAGGATTGAGAATGGGTATTATGTTACCCCCATGGATCCTGGGTATTCGGTTGAGATGAAGCCTGAGAGTATGGAGAAGTTTAGTTTCCCTGGTGGCAAGGATGGGTGGTGGCAGTCTGAAGAGGCGAGGCCGATTTTGGAGGGTGTGAAGATTTAGAGTTGTTGTAACTACTGGGTTTTGAAAAAGTAGAATTATGAATTATGTTTTTTTGGCACTGCTTGTTTAAAGATGTGCGCAGTATCATTCTATGTGCACGTGCTTTCAATGAGTCTTTTTTCTTGGGAGGATTACAATAATTCGTGCCAGGAAGTGAGAAGCGGACATTACTCTTACATGTTATGATCTATTATACAACAAAGCAAGTAATGTAAGAAGCGCATGTAACTGCTTTTGGCTTCAGTCATGGTCACACGCGTATCAATTTCATCTTTGGTCCCCACAATCTCACTCGTGGTTCACGTTCTTGAGCCTGCCCTAACTACCCGTTCCATCACCCAATTGGCCTCGCTGTTCATGTTGTTCCGAGGGTTCGAAGGAGATAGCAGCCCATAGGTATGTGTTGCTCTTGATTCGTTCAGAATCCAATCCCTTATTCATCACCATATTACGAATATGGAGTATTTGGTGGCGGAATGAACTGATACACTATTGCTAGCGTTGCCCTGAATTCGGGCAATCACTTTCGTTTTCCTGGTGTTTTGCTCACCCATATGATAATTACTCTTTGTACGGATTTGCCGTTTACACTGCATGGTCCAGGAAACAATGATTATCCAACATCCGTGTGTGCCATCGCCAAGAAGGTTCCACCTCTCCTTGTACGGATTTGAAAGGACACATGGACAACATGATACCATTTCAGAGCTCGATATCTATATCTCACTCTGCGGGAACATCTTGTAGGCCGTCTACTTCTCATTTGACTGTATATCTCAACATATATGCTCCAACAAAGTCAAATAGATCCGATGAGCCTTGGTTGTCGGATTTTGATACCTCAAAGTACGCCAACGCATGTATGCTTGCTGCTAACTTGTGACCCTATGCACACGGTCAGTTTCCATCTCATAAAACAGATGTCCAACCTACCCAGGAAGAAGCAAAAGGCGGTATGTGTTGGGATTTCAAATTTTTGCGCTCTGATGTGCCTAGGCGGAGGTCGTTATTGCATCCGACAAGTACTCGTGGCACATCAGGGAAATAATCTCGAGCTTTTGCGTTGCACTTTGATAGTTAGTTCTGATTCCGTCAGGGTAACAAGTACAGTTATACATACTGTGCACGCTGTGTCAACGAAATCATTAGGCTTGTTGATGTCGACACAGATCAACAGCACATGGGTGTTCCCATCGAAATCACGACGCAATATTTCTTGTCTTTCCGTCTTACTCAAATCCTCCGCCGTACCTATATCCCACACATCAAGGCCAATCCCACAGCCTCTGATATTGACAACTGTCTTTCCGGTGTTTGGTATTGCAGATGTTACTGAGCCTGGTGTTGAGTGTTGGCTTGACGTCCATGCGCGGGCAAGACATGCTTTGCCGCACTCCGTATCTCCAACCAATAACATCTTTCTCCATATTGGATTAGATAGTGTAGATGGTGCTGGTAAAATGGGCAGGCCAGACATCCAACTCGCTCGGTCCCGGTTCTGCTGTTCTTGATTCTGCTGCGGCAAATCGGCAGCACCATATATCCCTTCTAAACAGCTATGTTCATGAAGCCATGCAGCATCACGTGTCATTTTTGAGAAAGAAAGATAGCAAATAGGACAACGCGTACGACCCGGATATGCTGGAGGATTGTTACCCCCGGGTGTTGCACTGACAGGTCGGTATGCGTCCCACTCATCAAAAGATGGTGACATAGAGTAGGTCGATCCATCGTATGGTGTTGCATGTGAGGGGATTTTTGAAGCCCAACTTTGTATACTGGGGGTACCGTAGGTATGTATATCCGGGTAATCCGAGACAACGGTTGGGGCGTAACTCGCCCTTGGGATGCTCGGAAAGGCCAGGGAAGAACTTGCCACAGCACGTCGGTCCGCTTTGTCACCTTTCAACGCGGCGTAGGATTTCGCTAGTAGTCTTCCTATGAACCCTGGGCCAGTGTATTGTTTATCTCTCATGCTTGAATCCGACGCATCATACCGTATCGGTGAATTTTCCCCAGATGTTGACTCATCACGCCAACTCCTTACAAAGTAGCCCAGATTATCTGGATATGAAGGCGTGTGAAATTCTAGATCAGGGGTAAATATACTAGCTGAAGGCGATGGAGGTACTGATGGAGGTACGAAGGGACCCTCCCACGGTGTAGGCAGTTTCCTTCTTTTAAGATCTTCAGTTGTGTCGATTGTAGGAGGCTGACTTCTTGAAAAACTTGAGCTCTTTTGATCCAGATTCCTAATTCTATCGTCTTTTGCTTCCATTAGCGTTGTTTCCGTGGAATGAGACCTCGAATGTGCGAGGGATGCTTCGACACGTTTCTTGGGATGAAGTAGTCGGCCATCCTCACCTCCAAACGCTACGATTTCGGTTTCCGTGTGTGGAAGATTCTCTTCTACAGACTCATATGGTTGCAGCACTGTTTTATCCATCTTTTTTATCGCTTCAATAGCAATATTTGGCTCAACTTGTAAGTCTAGGGTGGATGCAAGTTGTGGCTGAATGATAGCTGGATCCAATTCGGCGGACTGGGATTTTAAAGTCGAACGCTGCACACCCCCTGCATGGCCTGAAAGTAAAGCTGCATAGGCCTCTTCCTCATCTTCTTTGCCTTCCAGTTGGCATATCTTTATCAAAAATTCCAAACACCTTTCGTAATCCGTGTGCCCTTGGTCACCTAGTTTCTTAAATCCTCGCAGGGACCGACGAGCTTGAAGGTGAGCATCAACATAGTCTTGGTTCTTCATCAAAATCTCAGCGAGCTTCATAGTTTCCTTCAAGTAGATTGCGTCTTTTTTACCCACTTGGTGCTCGATGATCTGTAATTTCCCCCCCCCCCCCCATTGTTGCTTTTGCCTCGGTCCATAAGCCCAATACGCAATAGCAATCGGTAATATGCTCCAACAGTTCGACCTTTGATACGCCGCAAACTGTCAAGCTTTGTGCTGTTGTGAGTGATGCATAACTCGTGTTTGAAGACAACCTCGTTAAGCAGTTCTGGAAACGACGTACCGCACCCGTCAAATCACCCTGCCTTTGGCGTCTATTGCCTTCTTTGAACAAGGATCTAATCATATCGTTCTCTATATCCGAGTCAGTATCTGAGTGGTACTCAGTCAATGCATCGCCAGTGCTAGTCTCGGGAGGGGCGGATATGGGAGCTTCCACATCCTCGTATTCATATACGGTATTTGAGGCGAACCAGCGCAGCATAGGTTCGTTGGCATCTTTGACAAAGATGTCGCCAAAATCAGAGCCACATCTGCCAGAAATCTTGTCGTTTGAATCTCCGTTAAGATTTGTTGATGCAGTTGACACAACTTCGGCGGCTGATCGAACACACTCCCGTAGATTGGTCATGTATTGGAGTTTGTAGTCATCTGGGTCATTCGGATCTACAACTGCGAATTGCAATTTCTCGATTTTTGCATTAAGAAGGGCGCCAAATGAGCGGAATTCGTCGTAGAGCTTGTCCAGTGTTGGAACAATCTTATCTGGTATCTTTTCAGTCGATTTCTGGAAGGTTACCTGATTCCAACTAGAGGTTGATTAGTGAAAAGAAAAAGACAAATGGACGAGCAGAACTTTGGTGGGCGCTCATGTGGAAACCACGATCATGGTCAGAATAACGTCAAAGGTTATGCTGACTTACAGGATGATTGTGCTAAGCGAAAGCTGAAGTGCAGTGTGAGAAGACTGGATCTGCTCCCGATATTGCGCAATTTGTCCAGAAGCGCTCTTCAGTCGGATAAGCTTCCGTTGAGTATCAAGCAGTGATGTCTTTTTGTTGACACCGTCCAGGAGGTCGTGTAACTTCTGCAAGGTGTCGGTGCCATCATTTAACGAGCGCGCGAGGTTTTTCCAGTGGCTGCCTGTATGCCCGGTCGATTGCAAGTTTGATTTGATGTCGTCCTGGTTAATAGTCTCCTTCATAGACTCGAGTACTCGCTTGAACCCTTCGACATCGCCGAGAAGGCCAGCGAGCGTCGTATCCACGGCGCTAGCCTCATTGCAGAACTGGCTGATCAGTACAGTCACTTGGACGGAGACGTGTATGAGCGTGACTATACTGGCAGTGATGGATAAAGGATCCGACATTCTCGGTCATTGTCTATCGCAACCGAAAACGACAGTAACGGTGGGAGACAGTGTTTTTGAACAGAGAAGGCTCCAGCGGGGCTGTGTCAGCTGGTGGCGCTTGAATTCAGCTTCGCAACCCAAAGCAGATCTAGCCGCCGATGAGGCTGTGATTGCCCTCATGATTGGTTTCTCATTCGGATCTGGAGTTTACGGGGCTGTTTTAAAGTGAATTCTTAAGCGCCAGTTGTGAGTGAGTAGAATACTAGCTACTAGAGCATGAGTGGTATTGAGGCAGGGCCCGAAATCTGACTATGTACTTGAGTTATGATCACGTGACTGTTGATTCCGAGCGTAGTAGTGGCACCTCACGTGATGCATTAGATTACATGTTCAAGCACCTCTTTTTGTGTACTTAAGTCCTGCTTCTAAATTTACTAAAAGTATTCTCGGGTCAACAGTACGTTATTCATGACAAAGGTAAGTATGACACACTACTATTATTGAACTCTCTGAAGCTGCAGAGAAACCAAGAAACCAAACAAGACCAGTAACGATAAACGGAATGAATGGCCGAAATACAATCCGATAAGTACCATCACTACCTAATGCTGTCAATCACGTAAAATAAAACATCGACAGCACACCGCGAGCAGGCTTTATACCCACCTTCCAATCTTATCACCCCGAATCACTCTATGACCACTACTACATTCAACTCTCCACATTCCCAAGCAAACCCGCTCGATTCAATCACACACACACACCCTTCCCTCGCATATCTACCTTACACCTACAAAACACATCAAGAACACCAAGTTTCACACCTCTTCCTCCTGCTAACCCAGAACAGCCCTTCCCGCGTCAACTTACCCTTCCCACCCTCCCCTGTTCCCAGTCACTCGCGTGGCCAAACCTCCCCAGTCCCGCGTATAAACCCACATTACCGCGCACGTGGAAATCAACGTCACGCAATCACTGTCATGAGAAGAGAAAGAAAAAGCGGGAAACCCTGAAACGAACACCTCAAACACGGCTTTGTGCGTTCGTTCTCTTTCTGAGGCACAAAACGGACCGGCATAAATATCTGGATTAGGAAGCTTGCTTTGAGATTCCATGTCCAGACGGGCCAATTGTTCAAAAAAACTGTTGCAGGAACCCGCGTTTTGGGTGTTCGTTTGCATGCAAGAGCGGGGGCTTGTCCTTCTGACGGAGCTGGTTTGTACAGTTTGGAGGTAGGCTATTTAGTTGAAACTTGGGGCCTGGGTGGGTGCGAGCTGTCAGGCGCGCGTCAGATGTGTTGTATTGGGCGCCATGGGAGTGTCAAATGCTGGGACGGGAAGGGGGGGCATCTTTTTGAGCCCTTTTTTGAGTGGCTGTGCTGAGAGGGCTTGCGAGAGATGATGGGATGGGGGGGATGTTGTGTGTAGTGGAAATGTGGGGAAATTGGGAATTGTGGGGACGGACGGGGCGGACGAGGGACGGGGAGAGGTTTGTGGTGAGGTGAGGGATTCTTTTTTGTAATCATGGCGATTTTTCTAGAAGGGTAGTAAGATGGGTGATATAGTAGGGTTTATGATATATTTTTGCTTTTTGTGTTTGCTTATAGGAAGATATGATGATTACGCGTCTATGTCAGTTAGTTTTGATTTCCTTTTTGGCTAAAGTGTAATTGCGTCTTCGACCGTGCTTCGTAGTCCAAACCGAGGCAGCGAGGCATTTCACGGACTACGCGCGGCGGGAGAGAAGATGCGACATGTCGCGACGAAAAGAGTAGTAGAAGACCGGATAGCACGGGCGAATCGATAAAATCTGAATCCTTACAGTGTTCATGTAGCGACTCCTAATTCTCTGTTTTCCTTATTATCGCGCTTGGGAGTCAAAAAGGCAAGAGCCAAGAACCTGGTTATTGGATTCAATGCCTTGCAGTCTTCGGTATCTTGGATACGTTGATGATAACGTGTATTGTATTGTGCAGAATTGTGGTTCAAGGCACCCACGGCAGAGAGTCTTGTTTCGCCCAGCCGCTGTCTGTAACCCATGGTGCATCAGAAGATGCTGAAACATGGCAAAGAGGTCTGCGCATGACATGAATCGCCTCCGAACCATCCCCCCTTCAATTAGCAGTACGCATGCCAACACCTCCAGTTCTATCCACTATGGGTATGATATAAGGACGAGGGCGCGAATCGGTTGATTCTAGGAAAACTACCACTGGTGTGCGCATTACTCGCAAACCCCAATATCATTCGTTCTCTATACATCTACTCTGAATCTTGTCCATACAGTCGTTACTGTAAAATCAAAGAAAATACCCCTTGCTCCAAATATGCGCATCGCAATCCCAATCGTTTGCTTAGCAGCAACTAGTGTCGTCGCTTCACCAATGTCTCCCCCTCTATCGCGGAGACAGGATGCTGGAGTTGGTGCAGGTGTTGCAAGTGTGGGAGCATGTCCCGTAAGTCGTCTACTACTACGATATAATGACTAGATGGGTTACTAACAATGATCTGCAGATGAACTGCTGGAACGAGGCAGCAGTAGTAGCGGGCTGCGATCCGAACACAGACGATGACTGCTTATGTGGTCCCTTTTTCGGCGCGGTGACTTCATGCACAGCGGGCGCGTGTAGTATTGGTGAAAACCTAGGTACGTCCATATCTTTCGTCTCTGCAATGACCACATACTGATACTTCCGGACATAGCTGCACTGGACTTTTTGAACGGACCATGCGAATAGAGGCATGACGATGATGACGAAGAAAAATCATGAGACTCGCGCAATGCGGCAGATACGAGGACGTGTACGAATACAAGATGAAGGCAGAGACCTGGGAAACGGATACAAGCAGAGCATCGGCTGTACAACTATACTTACCGTAGCTGGAAAAAAGTATCGACAGGCTTGGCAGTGGTACCAATAAAACCCATGGTACTAGTTTCCCATCATAATTGTGCTTTTCGTTGCAACCATGAATGGAGCTATTTTGAATCAGATGCAACCCCACATAACTGCAGCGTGTGATAAACAACCGCATGGCAGTGGGCCATGGACGCTATGCGCGTGATATTGTATGCAAGACAAAATTACCCAATATGGTTATCCAACACCGCAAGAAGATACTAATGCTTATCCTGTGTGGGGTTATGCGTACAGTGTCGGAATTCCAAATTGCTGTGCAGTAGCGAGGACAACCTTTGGCTGTACATGTTAGTCTCCGGGGAGCGCCAAACTATCATGGACCAATACGTAGCCGTATGTCCCCACTTAATACTGAGTTTCTCATTTGTTTCTTGTCAGAAGACCAACCGTATTCTGTCGTGAATATACTTACTCTTCTCGAACATATGGCGGTATAATGTACCATCTAGTAGGCATGCCGTGTTCCAGAAACTGATATCGCTTCACGCGGCTCAACACCCCTACGTTGATTGGATGGACTAGGCAATAGTGAAGCCAACCGGAGAGCACATGCAGGTTTGTGTTGTGTGCGCCTTCCGTTGCAGACGCGAGTTACGAAAGCTTGTGTTGCTCACCTGACAGAGTGACTCAACAAAAAGGATTCAACAAACAGATCTGGCAAGTTCCGTCCGGCATCGTGCTTCCGTAACTCAAACTTATACCTACACCAACATAGATATGTAGGTGTAGTGGGTGTACATAGATGTTTCCCATTCGACTCGATGCGAATTGAGCTTCTCCCGGGTCTAGAGGTGGTGATGACGATCCCAGCGCAAACCTTCCCAGAACTAAAGGCAGATCGGCAGACTAGTTATTCCCCGCTGCCTATGCCCGGGCGTCATAGGAAATATGTGCAGATCAATGAGGGGAGAGGACGGTGTGACTTGTGATGACAAGCATATTTGTGCAGACAGCAAGGAAGAGCGTGCTGTGGATATCATCAGCTTTTGGAAGGTATGCGTGGGGGATCAGTTGACGTAAGGTTGCGCGTCTCGTGGGCGATCATTGTGCAAACTGTGAGAAAACTGCCCCGGTTCTCATCTGGAATTGACGTACTGTGCGTGGGTGTAAAGTGGGTGTTTTTTGAGGTTCTGAAGGGTCTGTGATGTGTGTTTGGTCCAAGGCTGTGCGATATTCGTCAGACGCTCCACTCTCTTTGCGGTCGAGTCGCCACTAAACGCTTGGCTTGTCTTTTGAAGTTTTTACTGTCGCGTGTTGGTTGTGCGAACAGATCTTCATGCCCCGAGGCCAGGGACATGACTCACTACGGTGAGTTTGGGCGGCGAAAGTCTCTTTGGTTGAATTGGTGGCAATATCTTTGTGCGAGAGCCCCTGAAAGCCACTGCCTCATCTCGATCAATGAGCCACAATCAACGGTGCGGGGCCCCAGAGAGCTTAACCGTGGATCAGCCGGCATCATCGGCCATGTCGGTGTTTGACGCATAACATACTCTTTTTGACCAGACAGTCCACCATTACATCACCGGGGACCGATCGAGACCCTGAAGGTTCTAGACAAGAGACACATCATGTCAATATCACGATAGATGACGATTATAGACTGGGGCGGGTGAAGAGATTGTGGTAGCACTCTGGTGGAAGTGATGGTTCCGCCTGACCGAGCCGATTGTTGTCGGTGCAAGAACCCGACTTTTTTTTGGCGGCTATGGTGTTCCGACATTGGGCGGCTATCGCACATGGATGCGGACTGCCAGAAGCACCCCGCAAACGTACATGGCATGAAACTGTATCGCAGACTTGGAGGGTAATGCCCATGTTGTCTGAAACGGGACATGGAAAACGCCGGCATAATCGAAATTTCGGGGCTGGGGATGTGACGTCGGAGGGGGACAGTGCTTCCATGAAAGCTTCGACGAAGGCGTACCTTGCATAGGCCGAAGGAGTTGGGGCTAATAAGACGCCACCAACGCAGCATTCAGCGGAGCCCCATTGCTGTCAGCGATGGGGTTTCCGAGATTCTCCGATGCCACGTTCCATGATCAGGAGTTGGTCCCCTACTACGGTATTGGCGTGCGAATTTTTCTGTCGGCTCGGCATAGGCGTATGCTCGGAGGAAGTAACCCCAAAGCGGGGCGAGCTATTGAGGGACTAGCTGGAGTCAAAAATTTCTCGAACATCAGATAAGAATAGCGGAGCCAGGGTGACTATGCAGGGGATTAATGTGGTGTATCGGTGCTCAGGTCGCGGTGGAATAAAGTGCAAACAATGGTGCATATGAAGTAAAGACGCCGCATGATTGCGATTCACATAAAGGGCTTTCTTACCGAGGCCGTGAACGTCATCCAGCTCGGGACAGCCGGTCCGTCGCAGGGCAAAAGTCCCCACGATCTGCTCAGAAGCCAAGCACAGGGGCGGCGCCGACGACTGGGGTGCGCAAGGGCTCGAGCTGAAGATAGCCAGCAGTGGGTTATGCGGAAATGGCTTGCTCGTCCGACGTGGGCCTATACGACATGGGCAGCCCCCTTTGCCTTTGCACAGGGCGAGCCTCGGACGGCGCTGACTGATGAAGAAGAGGCAGCATGTGCATGCGTCTGTGTCGACGGACCCGGGAGCATTATCGGGTGATTTGATGGTCGGCAGAGATCGCCCTACGTTGGTCTACCGACTCAACCTTCACCTGAGTGTCCGGGACGATGCACAGAAGGCGGGCCGTAGTGGAGGGTAGAACAAAGTCGGCTTGGTGGCACGGTGCTCGAGCCCTTGGTGCGTGTGCGTGTGCGTGCAGCCAGCTGCGAGTGATGTCGCGATGCTGCGCGACGTGTAGTGTAGGAACGGACAGGTTGGCAACGACATGGTGGCTCGATAGTATTGTTCGCCCTCGCCGTGACCCCAGGTCTGGATCCCCCACAGTGATGAAATCAAAACGGAGCAGCGCCAGTCCCCGCCGGCTGCAGTGCAACGCGACTGACAGCCAGTGGGTAAATTGTGTGCGTGTTGGGGAGCATTATTGGCCATGTCATGCGGCCAATGAGGGTGGTCATGCGCGAAACCACTCGAGAGTCGCACGCATCCCACGAGTCTGAATAGTGCAACGCCCAAGTCTGCCGAGATGACAATGCAAGGTCACTGGCAGTGGGAGCCAGTGACAGTGCCTCGTCGGGCAGCGAGTGGGCGGAGATGTGGGTGCTGGTGTTTTTTTTGGCTGCTTAGACGCTCACTGCGTCGGGGGTGGCTGTGGGCTCTCTCTCGTCTCACGTCCAGAGGGGGGAGGGAGAGGGCAAGAATAGGGCAGCAGAGAAGGAGGCGCTCGACGAGGGTGGTCTGTCTGCACTGCACTGCACGATACGATATGATACGATACGATCTGATGGGACCATGGCATGGAAACACAACCAGACAAAACCTCCAGGTCATGGTGGTGACGTCTCCAGTCTCCAGAAACCTCCCCATACAAAGGCCGCCCTTATCTCTGCCCCAGCCTGGGAGTGCATAGCCACACATCCCCACGACTACCGCCTGCCTACTGCCTACTGTACGCATGTACATGTAGAAGACTCACCACCACCACTACCACCACCACCACGACGCAACCCCACCAGCAACGTTGCATCATTTGACTTGACGGCCTCACTGTCGACCCGTATACCCACGCAGCCACTGTACACCTGCTTGGGGACCCCGGCCGTCCGCTGGTACTCGCTGCACACTCCAACCACAGCCTCACCTTGTAGCGACTGGCGACCGCAGTGCGTTCGCCGACACTCACCGCTGCAAAATTTCGCATGCAGAATTCTCACGACTGCAAATTACGTCGCCGGACTCAACCAAAAAATCGACGCTCCACATCCCCAGCTGCTGAACCACCAGGCCAAGGCAGGTGCCGCTAGCCACGGTGCCATTGCATCGCTCGCAATCTCACCCGTCCTCTCCCACAACCCCCAAGGGATCGCCCAAAGTGACTGCGACACCGAAAAGGCCGCCGCTCCAGCTACACCCTGCACCCGCTGCACGCTGCCCTCCGCAAGTCATCACGCAAGTGTGCGTGAGGACCCGCATTTCCTGATACGTCTCCACGACTCGAGCGCCCCCCCCCCCCCCCCCGAAAAATAGCCAAGGCGCACTGGCGCACCGCGTTTCTTTCTGCGCGAGCTCCGGCATATCCTCGCCCGCGTAAGCACAGACAGCCCTGACGGCCATCAGTCGACCCCCACACGCCGCCCGCCTAGTTTGATCCATACATATATCCGAGCCCCCCATCCGTCCCCCTTCCCCCCAAACTTTCCCCTCCGGTCACATGCAATCCAACTCTGCCTCGACAGGTTTCGCCAACCTGCTCAACCCCGAAACAGCCTCCCAGAACCAACAGCAACAACAACAACAACCCACCTCTACACCAACCGCCTCCATGGCCGCTGCCACCGTCAGCCTCATGGCGCCTCTTCTCCAGAACGCCCCGCAACAGACAGAGGAGCCTCGACAGGATCTTCCCAGGCCTTACAAGTGCCCTCTCTGCGACAAGGCCTTCCACCGTCTGGAGCACCAGACTCGCCACATCCGAACCCACACTGGAGAGAAGCCACACGCCTGCACTTTCCCTGGATGCACAAAGAGATTTTCTCGCTCTGACGAACTGACTCGGTATGTCTCCCTTCAAGTGCCTTTTTTTTACCTGCGCACCAACTAACCCCGCCACGCAGACACTCGAGGATACATAACAACCCAAACTCGCGGCGAGGCAAGGGCCAGCAACATGCTGCTGCCCACCAAGCTGCCGTTGCCGCTGTACAGGCGGGTCTCATGGAGCCTGGATCTAACCTTGCACACATGATGCCTCCCCCATCAAAGCCCATTTCTCGCAGCGCCCCGGGTTCTCAACTAGGCTCACCCAACGTCTCGCCACCTCACTCCTTCTCCAACTACTCTCCTGGCATGAGCAACGACCTGGCCGCATACCACCAGGGCGGCTTGAGCAACAGCAGCAGCCCCAGCGGTCTTGCCCGCCCCATGGATCTCCTTGCTGATGCTGCGTCAAGACTGGAGCAACGTCCTGGACACATTTCCCACTCGAGTAGACATCACCTTACGAGCGGGTACCACCCTTACGCCAACCGACTGCCAGGCCTCTCTCAATACGCCTACTCGTCGCAGCCCATGTCAAGATCGCACTCACACGAGGACGACGACCCGTACTCGCACAGGATGACGAAGAAGTCGAGGCCAGGCTCACCGTCGTCGACTGCCCCGCCATCTCCAACATTTTCGCACGATTCCTGCAGTCCGACGCCAGACCACACGCCTCTGGCAACCCCTGCACACTCGCCAAGATTACGGCCCCACGGCTTCAGTGATCTCCAGCTACCACATCTACGTCATCTCAGCCTCAACCAAAACTTTGTGCCAGCACTTGCGCCCATGGAGCCGTCGACGGAGCGTGAGCAACCGTACGTGCCAAGCCAGTCGTCGGGACTTCGTATTGGGGACATTATTTCCAAGCCCGAAGGTGCGCAGCGCAAATTGCCGGTTCCGCAAGTACCCAAGGTTGCGGTGCAAGATCTGCTCAATGGCCCGAGCAACAGCGGCTTCTCTTCCGGTAATAACTCCGCAACGGCGTCATTAGCCGGCGAAGACCTCTCGAATCGCAACTAAACCCACTCTCGACTCCAACTAGCATGGCATCGGCGTTTTCGGTCTGCATCCTCTGCTTTTTTTTTACTTTTTCACCTCTCTTGCATTTCGTCATTTTTTTCACGGTCAGCAAGCGATGAGATTAGACAAGGGCACACACACACACACAAAGACCTTTTTTTGTAGGGTGGAGCCTGTGGCATATTACGATTTCCCTAACACCACGGGCAAATAGACGTTTCTTTTGTAGCTATCTACTTGTACTTGTTCTACTTGTTTTCTTCTTCTTCCTTCATCTTCATCTTCTTCACTTATTTCCCAGTTGTTTTTGCCGGATTCAATACCCCGCGAAACCGCGCCAGGCGGTTCGCAATCTTGTATACGCCCCCGGGTCTGCCTCACTTTTGGAAGCTAGCTCGTGGGCAGGTTTGGAGGGGGTGGAGGGGTGGCTGGAGGGGTGTGCATGTTGGCAGTGCGGGGAGAGGGAGAGATGAGTAGAGGGTAGTTGCTCAGCTTAGCGCCTAATTGAAACCTGAAAGCAAAAGTCTTGTGTTAGTGCAGAAGTGGACAGTAGATTTCAATTTGCGATTACGAGATATTATGTTATGGACGAAGAAGATTTGCATGTGGGTGACGTGATAGAGGAGCCCGGTGATGCAAGCAGGGAGAATCATTCGTGGGGTAGGGGGCCAGGTTTGGGTGTGTATGCGAGAGCCCGGGGTTCTGGGGGGGGGACTGGAGTGGTGGTAGGCTATCTGGCAGGTCTCGGCAACGTCAAGTCTCGAAACAAGGAGGGAGGGCGGGCAGTCCATGTTCCCCGCAGATAAGTTTTGTTTGATCATTCGGAAGGGCGAGTGATGGCGGAGGGATGGGGGTTGGATGGGAGAGTGGGAGAGTGGGCTGGATGGTGCAAGCGTCACGCCAGCCCGCCGCCATGGTGCAAGCCTGGTTGCACCCGCACAGTGTTTTTTTTTCTTCTGCATCTGCTCTCCCTCTGTCTCTCTCTCTTCGCGCCGAACCTGATCTTCCCCCCCTGCGGGGCGGGCGTGAGACACACTGGGCACCCCCAACGAGCAAGATGCGGTGAAGAGGAGGACCAACCAAGGGCGAGACGAGGGCCGTGTTTCAGTCAATGGCATGCTTGTGCGACCACGCCCGTCTCCAGCTAACAGTCGCTATTCTTGCACTTGCTCCCCCTTTCACATGCAGCGCGATAAGCCTCGTCCGCGTCTGATAACTCCGGTACAGACTGCGGCACCAGCGCTAGCGGGGCTTATGGCACAAAGGGACCTGGATTTTGCGGAGAGTGAGGAATGTGGAGTACGTGGCACAAGCACACATCGTGGCGCTGCCCATGCGCTAAAGCCTGGGGGCTGCCTGTAAGCATGCCCTGTATGCCTGCCTGCTTGCCTACCTGCCTGCCTGTGTGGTGTGGTATGTGGCATGTCTGAGTACGTACTTAGTACGTGGGTGGGCGTGGGTGCGTGGCTGTAGTTGCCCAAAGCGGAACACGCGTCCTCACTGCCTAAACGGGACACGATGCAGCCAGCCTGGGGGTGGGCGGGTAGGTCGAGCGCGCAACACCAAGACTCCTCCAGACCCCATACTCACCACATCCATCCCTACTTCTCACTACTTGCTTAACTCACATGCATACTTTCGCCTACCTGCTAGGCACGTTGGCTGCGTTTCCGGCCCCATCCTTGTGGGGATCTATCGAATCGTCACTGCCCTTATCTCGACCTGTCCCCGGCGGCTTCACCCTTGCCAGCCGGGAACCAACGGATGCCTTCGCTCCACGCTGCCATTCGACAATGCCGATATCTGGCCAGCCCCAAGGGCCTGCCTCTCGCCAGAGCACAGTCTCAGATCCATGGGCGCGAATCCCTCCAATGACCCATCTATGGTCGACCCAAAGAAAATTTCTCCCGCCGGTTGATTGTGAGGATCATCTCTGCAGTGGTCCAGCTGGGCATGCACCCCGGACTGGAGCCCCATAGCATACGCCACGCTACTCCACAACGCGTAATCCGAGCTATGACGATCTCACACCTGTCTGACCGTACGAGCCGGCAGGTCTGGCGGCTTCTGCCTCCGCCGCCTCACCACGCCAGATTGCGGCGTCTGAACACGGTCGGCCCGGCAGGCGCGAAGCGAAGCGAAGGCGCACAGCACACACACATGTGCGTATGTACGTACCTCGCCATGTACACATACACATGTACCTACCTGGACATATCTGTGCCCGCCGACACCATTGCTCGTTGAAAACCAGTACCAGAACAGCTACCGAGCAGTAATACCGAACAGGGTCTGGCCTTGACATGACAGTACCGAAATCAATTACCTGGCCTGCTTACCGGGTCAAGCGCACACAGCGCGTATCAAGGTACACCTACGTAACGTATTCACATGCGCATGTACCTCCGGCTGTCGACCAAGGCACTTGCCAACCAAAATTGTCATTGCAAACCTCCGCTGTGGACTGGACTGGGCCGGCCAAACGCCAATCTGCTCACCAAGCTGGGCATCGTGGCCTCCCTACCAATCACAAACCGGCCGGATTCCGCCCCTCCCTCACTAGCTTCATCAAAAGCAACTGTCACGCACAACAAAGGAGAGCTTGCAAATACTTACACTTTGGGGTATCCACAGTAGTGTCTCAGCTGACGGAACTGCGCTCCATTTCAGCCGCTTACCATTGAGCGCCTCTGCATCCAGCCCCAGATAACAACCGCCCACGGGACAAGAACGAGTGCCACCAAGCCTTTCCGCCCCTTGCAGACCAACTCGGTGTTAGTACTGGACCAGTCCAACACAAGGCGTCTAGCGAGCTTCTAGGGCCGGCCATCCAGGCCGCAAATCCATCCTTTGTACCAGAACTGAGTGCGGGATCTCCACAATGTCCAACAGCGGACCTGCCTGACGAGGAAATGCTGGCGGTTAAGGCTGCTGCTGGCGAGTCACGCACCTGGTCGGAGATATGGCGCTCGCCACCCTATTCGTTCCAGCCGAGGAAATTTTGCCGCAAAATAATTGCACCACTCACAGCCGTCAACAGCACGTCGTGGATTGTGGAGAGACCCTGACTCCACACTCAGATCGCCGCATAGATTGCTCAAACAAGTTAGCTTGCCGCACACCGGAGAGTCCCATAGTACCTGTTTGGTCGGAGCCAGGTGCAAAGAGGAAGTGTCTCCGATCCGATGCGGCTCTCGGAACCAAAGACCAGACTATTGCTTTGGCCCTCCCTTCCTCAAAGCTCACGCAGGGAAATTTATCTGACCCGAATGCGCCGATGCAGACCCGTCTCCAGAATATCGACCATCTGTCCTTTGCATCGCGTCTACCACCGGCTAACCATTCAACCCTTCGCCGCGCTTTGTTGGTTTTAGCACCTTCCCCATTGACTCCACCTCCGCGTGCAAGGACCGCAATACCGCAACACTTGGTCGATGAATAAAGGAATATACTTTCTAAAGTACCTGTTGAGGTTCCCCGCATTTGTGCAGCACACGGGATGCAGGCCTCTAGCACAACGGTTTCCATCTAAACCCAACATCATCGTACCGGGCTGTTGGTACTCTGCCCTAGCGACTACAACCGCGTCGACGCCAGCAATATATTTTGCCGATCACACACGCCTGAATAGCAATATAAAGTGCTTAGTGAGGCCCTGCGCAAGGGCGACGCACAATATATTGCAGCTTTGACCGCCGGTTCGTGAACTACAGAAGGGTCTCACATGTGAGCTCGATGAGCATCTTTGCCATGACAATCGACCAACCTGCACACTGCAGATAGGCATCTCTTCTGTCCACATGTCGTCTGTTCCCTGCTAGAATATTGGATTTGGCATTCCGCTTCAGCCATTCCACCGACATGAAGCCGTGCCAAACCACTGCCTATCTTGCAGTCACACTCTCTACGTCACATGTCGAAGCCTGGCAATGACGCACTTGAAAAGTCTCGACTTCTCACATGTTATCCACTTCCAAGATTAGCGTTTGGCTCGGACAAATGTCATGGCGTGGATCAGGACATGCGCATCAAGTTACCCTTGACAAGCAATCAACCAAACCGGCAAGCGATCGCGCATTGTGTGGGCATCGCCAGTCTAAATCAGTATCGCTGTCTGAGTCAATCAACCGCACTCTCCCTTATCTCCACGACTCCATACCCGCGGGGAGATACGTATACCTTCATTTGGACCGTTATTTATCCGTCCAATATTGCAGATAAGCGAAGACCATCCATGCGGCGCAGCGCATTCAAGCAGGATTGCTTATGCTGTCTGTGTGCATGCGCCCGCTGCACAGCTTCCAACATGCAGGTCTCACTTCCACCTCATATTGATTAACGTGGGGGGGGAAGAGGCTATTCATGACAATGTACCAAAGTATTTCTAGACGACATGTCGGTGGCCCGAGGATATTGCACCGGTTTGCTTTCTCCACCACCAATATAAGGATAAAAAACCAATAAAGAAAAATCAATATCACGAAACTGCCGAGTCCGGCTGGGCTGTGAGGCGGAATAAAGAAGTGTGTAGGGTTTTGATGGTGGCCAAGGTGCATGTTGTTGAGCTCTGGCAACTGTTTCTGTACCTGCATGCCGTCAGAACACCATCATCAAGATCGTCCACGGAGAACAAACACAGCACCACCATCACACCACCACATACGTTTTGTGTACATACGTTAATAAGCTCTCGCATACGTACCCCGATTATCAATGTATCCTTTGCATGTCTTTTCTTTCTGCGCCTGACATGTGAAACCAATTGTGGACCCCACGCAAGCAGTGCACGCGCACTTGAACTATGACCAGAAAAAAACAAGTACACCAGGAAAGCCACTAACGACCCATCACGGAGCGGAGTAGGAAACAAACCCCAAAAGCAATCAAAAAAGTCGGCTTTACTTTACCCCAGACTCCAAGAGTCTTGTACCCTTATTCTTCCTGTCCTTTCCCGCCGCACGTCCCCGATGTGGAGGGACAAAAGAGCATGGCAAAAATAAAAGTGGCATGAGCACCGGAGAGAGAGTCAGAGAACATGGATCCGACATTTCTTCCGTCCCGCACATGCTTCCCCTCCAAAAAAAAAAAGCACGTCTGTGTGTCAGAAAATTATTCCGCGTAGCCAACATCTCACACAGGCAGCATGTCTCTTTACGGACAATCCAAAGTCTGTTTTTTTGTTGAGAGTGCTCATGCGTCACGGCGTGTTCTACTTCGAGTTCCCTACAGGTACATGTGCGTACGTAGACTTATATTATTACCCGCGGTATCTCGGACCGGCTTCGACACCATCCAAAGCGGGTCCTCGGATGAAACAAAGCAGCCAAAAGGAAGGAAGCATGGACCTCGCTTAGGTTAGGGATGTAAGGGTACTTTGCATGAATTTGTTAGGTACATTGCTTGGTACGGCTATTGCTGTTGATGGCACCATTGGACCCATGAGGGACCGACCGTTTTTGGCTCCCTCGGGTCAGCGTTCAAAAGGTTAACCTTGTGCTCGGTAATTTGTATGCGGACTAGTGAGAGGGGCTGAAGCGGGATTTTTTTTTCGTTGGAGGTCGGAGGATCTGTTGGTGGTTCGAGGGTGAAAAGGCGAGGTCCGAGGTACTTTAGATGGGGGGGTAAAAAGGCGCGGGCGAAGCACGGGGAATGCAGAGACGTTGGGGATTGCGGAAGATAGCCACGTGCGATTTCAGCCGCGTTCTTTTGGCTCTTGGTTTGGTGGGCCGATTTAGTGCTGGTGCTGATGGCGCCTTTTTTTTTGTGTGTCGTACTTTTTTTTTGCGGCTGCGGAAAGTCGTAGAATAGAAGGTGGGTAGACTTAGTGCTGTCTGCAGGGGGAGAGATGATCGGTGTCTCCGTGTAGGGTATACACAGGAGTTTAGGTATCAATATGGTAAGAGCATGTCGGACCTGTAACATCTGTAATGCGCTTCTGCAGTAGCTATCACTCTTCTTGTTTTTTCTTTTCGTATTTCCATCTCACTCTCTTTCTTGCAAAAAAACACGGGGTCCATTACGTACACTTCCCATAAGGAAATTACAGTTTCTCTTTTCTTCATGCTCCCTAGACACACACACACACTTTCCCTACACCACCTACATCATCCTACACACAATGATGCATAAAGAGAAGAAAGAAGAAGAAAGAAAGAAAACCCACGACCCCCATTCAAAAAAGTCGGCGCATCTCCAACATGTGGATCTTTTTCGTTGCACTCGTACCCCCTTTAACCCTCCGAGATACGAGGGAAAAAAAGAGTCCCCATTTTAACGCACGTACACACGCACCCCCACATTCCGACCTTGTTAATGTTACTCCACAATGCATCAATGCGCATCAAAGCGGCCTGGCGCCAAAAAAAAGTGACCTCCCCTCTATTCTCCACCAAGTAGAAACAAACTATACATGATACCTCTTTTTACCAACCCACTCGCGGCCTACTTTACTTTAGTATCAAGTAGCCTAATTAATTATACCCACTAACACCAAACTCCGCTACTACTAGAGTAAAGTAGTTTTACTTTACCACGCCTAGCTAATCTGCCTATTACTCTCCCCACCCCTTTTGGTCACAGTGCAAATGTCCCAAGCAACTTAGCCACACGACTACCCAGTTCTTGAGGTTGAGGGGTTTTTTTAAAGGTAGTAGTTAAAAAAAAAGTTAGAAAAAAGATCTCTCTCTATCACACGCACATGCCCCTTCCCCAACTGGAGAAAGAAAGAAAAGTCCCCACAAAACGTATCTTTCTCGGTCATTTTGCGGGGTATGCGCGACGACAGCGCTCCCAATTGACGCCCGATACGAGTATCGCAACTATTTTTTTTCTCTCTCTTTTTTTTCTTGCTTGAACAAAAGATGGTCGGATCGGATGTAGGTAGATGGGGCTTGTGGGTATGTGGGTGAGAGAGCAAGTTAGTGGGGGTGAATGTATGTAAGGTGAGGGTTTAGTGGGGTAAGGAAAGGGAATAGGTAGGTGAGATTGGATGGTGAGATCGGGATGTGGGGATGGGAGATGGGAATTTTGCTTGTAGGGGTTTTTTTTGTGGTTTGATGAGGGTTGGTAGGGATGGAGTATATGCATAGGATAACGAGTGCGTGTTGCTTTTTTTTCCTTTGCTATGAGGTGACTGCAGTGGCTTTCTTATACATATGGGTATCGTAGTGTGAAGGGCTGCTTAGGACACCTCCTGAGTAAGTATGATGTTATACATCCTACAATGTGTGATGGGTCAGTGTATGGAGTTTGGTAAGCTTGAGTATTTTTCATAGCTCCGTGTATAGACTTGGGTATGTTTAAGCTAAAACGCAGTTACAGTGTATACTAGTACGAGAGTGCGTATACGCAGTGGTCACGAACATCATGGAACCTCGCTACATCTCGAGTCAGTAAAATGTTTACATCTACGATGACTTGTCACTTTTTCGACTGGATATGTTTATCTACACAAGAGCAGTGGAGATTGACGACAAACTAAATGTCTGACAATGTCTTCCCCCTTGCGTAAAACCGGCCACGAGAATCTCTTTGGTTTATCCATTCTCACACGTAACAAGACATAGCTGTATTCACACAGTGGATTCAGCAACGAGCAATTCCGTCCCGGCTTTCCATTTGTGGTAATACCGCTTGGATACGAAGACAACCAGCATCAGTAAATTCGGATCTGCTTCTCCACTTCTCTCCATACCACAAGACGTAATGGTATACCCCTTATCTCACGCTGTGTACGCAACACCATGCAGAAAAAGCAACACTGTATCCTTCGGTTACGAGTGCCCCGCATTAATGTCATTTGCCTCAGTAGCCATGAACTAGTTGGTTCGACGCTCGACGCCCAATTCCCACATATTATCCACCTGACACTTGCTAATCCCAATCACCCACCTGAAAGACGTCACTTCGACATAGGATACATCATATCCCCAGACCACCAACATCTCGCACTCGTATCACGATCCCCCGCATCAGGCGCCCTTAGAGCAAACGAAGATCCTGGCCACTTTTTCGGCTCAGCACTATGTATTCCGGAGAGTCAGTCAGGCTGCAGCAAACCCCATCTTTG